GGATATTTTAATATTATAATGTATCAAAATCAAGAAATCAGAGTCCTAAAAGCACCCCACCACAGACGTTAAGACGACAGCACTTTTAAACTGTTGTTACTGTTTGCTTTTATGGTGACTTCTCTCAATTGCTTTTGTCAGTCTGTATTCTTTATCCTGTGTGGCTGCTAAAATATGTGTTGTTAGTTTATTGGTCCCCTTAGTACTGTGACAGTTTCCGTAAGTATCTACTGCTTATCGTAGCACTTGCTTCCAGATCTGGGGTAGCCTGTCAATATTAGTACCTTTAAATGCTATCAGTCACCAGGGAATTAGCTCAGTGGTTCTACCACCTGACTCACAAGCTCAAGGACCCGAGTTCCAGGCCTGGTACAGAAAAAAAAAAAAAAATGCTTTCAACAAATTCCTCTCAGGAAGCTGTCCCAGACCTGGTAACATTATAAGTCAGAAAAAACAAAGGCAAGCTCTTGCAGTAGTCCTTCCTTGAGCCACCAGACAGGTCAAAGTGGACGACCACAAGTCTTTGAGAGAAGTTCTGTATGCCTCCCATGCAAGAAAATGAAAGGAGTCATCCTCACAGCAGTGTGCAGATCTGGGGATGGTAAGCAGGCAATTTAAAATGCCACAGCCCCGACTCTCAAAGGAGCAGAATCAAAGAAGTTACTTCCTCTTTCTCCAAGCCTTCCTTGGTTCTAAGTTTTTACCAAGATCCAGAAAGGTGTAAAAATGGCTTGTGACACACTGCAGGTTCACTGCTGGCTCAATATTGCTTTTGTGGAGGCATGGACTCCTGGAGCTGTTAATTTCACCATCCTCACTGACATCACCTTTGCAGCTTGTTTTTGGCATTTCAAGACATAACTGTGCATCTTTACAATCTACAATGTACTTGGCCCAACAGTCATGTATGAAGAAGTGAGATGTTATCACAGGCAGTGCTGCTTCTCTCCAGCAAGGACTTTAAATACTAGTTTGGTTTCAAAAATTTTCACTGTTTTTGATATCCATGAGAAATGCCACTTAACTATTCATAGTTAAACTACTAATGGAATACTTCTTTTCCATGAGTGTTTTTGGAAATGCTCCTTTAGAAGAACTTTCCACAAATCTTGGCCTGGAAAGGTGGTTGTGCTTCTCCTTAGGCCTTCCTGGTTCCTGGAAAGGAGCCTAGTTATTTCTGAATACTTGATTTATTTAGCCTTTTCCTGTAATATACCACAAGGAACTGACTTGTCCTTCTTGTTCTGTCCTTATACAAGAGATACATGTTCCATAGTAAAATGACATCAAATGAAGGCCTGCTAACATTTGGTCCCAATGGGCAAAAAAACAAAAACAGCTAAGTGCCTAGAAGAGCCCGCATTTCATTTGGAGTGGAATCCTCTAACCCAATCCACATTGAGAATAACCTCAGCTTTGCAAAAGACTTCCTGCATCACAATCTCCTGGACTCCTAGAACTCAGTATTGGCCTTCCACCTCAAGCTCTATAACAGAGCATCACTAATGTTCATTTATCTTGTAAGGCATTAAGAGTCCTGAGGGAAAGAATTTGGATTTTGGAGTAAATTTGGTTTCACTTAGAAAACAAAAGCTACCCTGGTGTGAATAATCTGTAATAATACATAAGATCCTAACAAGATTACTGACATTTAGAAATGGGAAGAAAGGAGCTAAAGGTGTAGGGAAGGTGGGACGGGTAAGGGAAGGGTAATAAGGGAAAAGAAAAAAATGTGAGAGAATGAAAAGATGGAAATAAAGTGTTTGTAGATGGGGAGGAGAGGGGGGGTGAAGGGAGGTCAGGGACGAGGGGGAAAAATGAGAACCAAGACTTGTCATGTAGAGGTACAAGATCCCAACAATGAATGTAACTGTACTGTATCCCTAAAATGTACCAATAAACTCAATTAAAGCTGAAAAAAAAAAAGAAAAAGAAAAGAAAACAAGAGCCAAATTACAGCAGAGTTGAGCAAAATGGAAGACAGCCCTTGTTCCTGGTGCTTTTGTCTCTGGGTGGCTTTTTTTCAGACAAGAAGGGCTGGAGAAGAGCGCTGGAGGACAGCACTTGTGCCTACAAATGAAGCACTGCTGCCATCATGCGGAGAGAGTTTCAGTCAACTTGGCGCCATTACGGCTCCCTTCCCATGAGGCCTAGCTGTTGGGCAAATATCTTTCCTGTAGTGAGTTGGAGGAGGTTTAGACTCCACCCTTGACCTCCTCCATACTTTCTCCTAAGGCCAACAGGGACCAGGATAGCGATGCTAACTTCGTGTACAACCTGGGGAATGAGGGGCCTGGAGTGGACCAGCCGCCACCATGATAAAAACCCACAGGAAGTTTTGGGGAAGAGCCTTGGTTTTTCTTGGTGTGGACAGGACCCACTCAGAAACAAATCCAGCCCCTTGTGGGCACTCAGCTCCCCTTCTTGCCAGTTCCAGCAAGTTGTCAGGCCTTTTGGTGATATACCTGTGTTATGGGGATTTGGTCAGTCTCTCCTTGTAGCACTATGAAAACAAAGACAGACTGGTTCCAAGTAGAAGCTGCACTCTGTCCTTTTCCCTCACTCTCCAGGTTTCTACCCCAAGCACTCTGTGTTGGTGCCTTGCTCTTGGTGGCATCAGAGCAAGTGGCTGAAAACTAAGCTTGAGACTGGGGCCTTTCTCACCTCCCAGACATTCTACCTTCTAAAGGCCAGGCTTTTGTGAAGGAATAGCTCATGGGTTAGATCTTTATGAAATCATGTCTTCATGATGGCGTATTGCACCACAAAACCAAAATAACCCAACTGCAAGAACTCTACTTCACCCATCCCATCTGAAAAAAAAAAATGCCAGGGGAGAAAAAGATGTGCACAGTAAGAACTCAGATAGTTATCAGTTGATTTGAAATGTTTTCTGATAGTGCTTTTCTTCCTCATCAGCATGTGATTGATTATTTTCTGAATGCTTGGCAAGGAACATAATTTTTCTTTTTCCATTTTTATTACTGCATATTATTTATAGACTGGGGGGCTTCTTTGGGCAAATTTATGCATACATATAACACACTTTAATCATGACCACTTAGGCCTTTTCTTCCCTTCCAACATGTTTTCACTCTTCTCTAATAGCCTCTCTTATAGCAGACATCATTTAATTTTCTCCAGAAAGAATATCAAACTTTATACCTAACAAAATATAGCACACACACTCACAACATAAAGCCACAGAAAATAGCTGAAGAATATTCATGACAAGGGAAAATGCTCTGTTTTCATAGTAAATGATGGAAAATGAGATACAGCTGAGAGTATCCTCAGACAGTGTTACCTGTAGCCTGCCATGCAGAACATGTTTGACTGCAACAGTGAAGCTTATATAGCTCCTGCTCTTATGTCAAAAGACAAATTGTTGCATACAATTCGGGGGGGGGGTACAAAATGAACACATCCTGGATTCTCTTGGACAATGGACAAATCACAGACTACTTGAATTTCTGAATTGATGCTGGAGAAGACCTCTAGGCAATAAGTAATTGCCTCCTTTTTCAGCCTTCATCCACGAAATTTATCATCTGAAAGATACAACTACATGCCACTTGAAATACTGAACAACTATTAATGAAGAAAATCACACGCGAATGGACAAAATCCTACAGAAAATCAATGTCTGAAAGAGAAGAGTCCCAAAGAAAGACTGTGGATTTAGGTCTCCATTTGGTTTCTCTTGGAAATTAAAGCAAAATCACAGTTTTGTTATTTTGTACAAATACAAGGCTGCCATATTTGTATTGCCTGTGTTACCTTTTTTTCAGACAAGAAGGGCGGGAGTAGAGCAGTAGACACCGTCACTTGTGCACATACTCGGCGCATTACTGCCATCTCGCGGATGGAGTTTCAGCAAGGCAGGAAGCATTTACATTCTTTTCCCATAAGGCCTAGCTGTTGGGGAAAAGGTGCTACCTGTAAATGAATTGGAAGAGGTTTGAACTCCAGGCTGGGCTTCCTTGCATTCTGCTAAGGCCCCAAAAGGGACCCACACTGAGAACTACCTTGATGCAGAACCTAGCAGTGAGGGTCCTGACCTAGACCAGCAGCTGCCAGGAGCCGCCATTACAGGAAGTCCCTGAATAGGTTTAGTTTCCTTCCACTGTGGATAGGACCAGAGCAACCCACTCAGACAAATGCAGGCCCTTGGGGGCAGTTATCTCTGCTCTTGCCCTTTTGAATAAGTTAGGAAGCCTCTTAAAGATCTCATGCGGTCCGGAGAGGTTAAACCTGTTTCTCCGGGACCAAACCCATAAAGGACAACCTGGCCTGTGATGGGTTAAAGGTAGCCCATTCCTCATAAATAAGCAGTAGCCCATCCCCAAAATGATAAAAGGACCTTCCTTTCTTTGTTCTTTTCCTCTCTGTCTTTCTTCTACCCTCTCCTCCCTCTCCTCTCTCCCTAACCTGCCTTCCCTAATAAAATCTCCTGTGGGACCTCTTGGAATGTGGCCTAGTTGTTAAGCATCGCTGTGCCTCTACATCCTCTTTGCAGCAGTGAGTGTAAAGGATAGGCTGCTTCTAGGTGTCAGCTGCACACTCAGTACTGGTCCCTCACTCTTCTGGCTCTCCACCAACACTCTGCATTTGTGTCTTGCTCCTCGTTTTCTCAAAAGATAAAAAGGTGAGGCAGCTACAGGAACTTGGGTCCATCTGACTTCTCACAGGCTCTGCCTTCTCCAATAACTTGAGCTTTCAGGGAGGACCCTTTTAAGGCTTAGGATTTAGGAAACCATTTTTTGAAAGATGGCAGGATTGTACCAGAACACCTAAATGGAATAGGAAAAAATGTCACAAGAGACAAAGATAAAAGAAAGTGTGACTACCTTTCAGTTTGCTTGATGTGAAGAAACTTGCTTGTAATTATTCTATTGGTTTCTATTTAATATGAAAAGTTAGATCTCAAAGGCAAGACTTTTTTCTGTCCCCAGAACTAGGAAAACAAAACAAAACCAAACCAAACCTAATGTACCCACCCTCAAAAGGCAGCTTCTGAAAAACTGACTTTCCACGTGACCAATTCTTCCCATTTCTGTTCTTCGCAAAGCATTGTGTTTCCTCTTGATATTGAAGTGTCTCCTGCTATCCGGAACCAAGTCTCAGGGATCCATGCCTAGAAAGGAGAAAAAAATGCTTACACTTCTGGGCTTGGAGAAGAGCAATTCTAGGCTTCCAGTTGCTTGGTTCTCATCCTGACTCACTCTCTGTGACTGCTGTTGACCTAGGCACCAGTCCTTGTGTACCCAGGGGAAGCTGATTTTAGGTGAAGCTTAGAAATCATGTGGCAGGTCCATGCCGCTGAGAAGAAATAAGTACTTTTAAAATGAGGATGGGGGTGCACTTCTCTAGTCCCAGCCATGTAAGGCAGGAGGATCTGAAATTGGAGCCCTGCCTGAGTAACTCAACTACTTAGCACGACCAGCTCAAATAAAAGAAAAAAATAAACATGGGCCAGGAATGTAACTCAGAGGAAATGACTTGGATTCAACCCCCAGTACACCACACCCCCTACAACATACACACACCATAAGCCTGTGCCCTTTCCTTAGCCATATATAATGTATTTTATATAACAATGTTAAAAATGTTCCTAAACTGTTAAAGCAAGGGTTCTTCATTTACAAGTAGAATACTTTTCAAAAATAGTTAACATATTTTGGGAACACCGATATGTTTTAAAAATTTCACCACTTTTAAAAAATTGAAGTAAAATTCAAACAAAATTGTCCACTTTAATGTGTGTAATTCAGTGGCATTCAATACATTCACAGTCATTTTTAGATTGTTCATTGCTACTATAAGGTTACATAAATAAGAATGATTTATTTTTGTTTGCTTGTTTGAGACACAGTAACCCTTTGTAGCCTAGGTGGCTTTGATTTCATTATCCTCCTGCCTCAGCCTCCTAAGTGAGTGTAGTGATTGCAGGCATACTGTACCATGCCTAACTCTACACCTGAGTTCCTTTTCTGTCCTGCACTGTTTACCACAAAGTATGAGGGTTTTGTGGATTTTTAAGGATTGTCTTTGTAAGAAATGATGGTATTGACAGGGATCATTTTCCTTCTTCCTTCCAATTTGGATGCCTTCTCTATTCTTGCCTGATTATCTTGGCTAAAACTTCAGGACAAACTTTAATACATCTAGCCAAAGAGGGAATTTTTCTCCCATTCACAATGTTAGGGCAAAGCGTTCAGTCTTTTACATGAGTACAATACCAGCTGTATGCTTTTCATAAATACCCTTGGCCTTGTTGAGAAAACGCCCTTGTAATCATAGTTGATTGATTGCTTTTGGTTGCTTTTCTGGAGAGAGGAAGTGCTGAAGTTCCTTTTTCTGCCACTTTTATTGACATCACTTGTTCCACCTGGTTTGTATATCTAGAGGCATTCATGCTTTTTTACAACACACCTGCTACAACAGCCATGTATGAAGATATAATACGGGTTCAAAGGTAAGGCTACCTTCAAAAGACAAGGATTTTTCAACTGTAATTCATCTCCTGTCCTTTAACTGTTTTTAGTCCAACATATTTTATGCAGAACTGTTGCACTTCTTTGGCTTTTCTTCATGCCCCTAAAGCCTTTAACAATAGGAGGTACCTGAGACCTTCAGCAAATCCACCTGCTGCTACTTATACCGCCTGGAATGGCCTGTTCTTGCTCCTCTCACACTGCAGCAACTAGGGATCCATGCACCATTGCACAAAATTACTTGAAGGCATGTTTTTAAAAAAATTTATTGTATTTTTAATTTGTATATATTTTGGTGATGCTGGGGATTGAAGCCAGGACTTCACATATGCTAGGCAAACACTCCATTATTTGGCTACAGGACTAGTTTGGCCCACAAACTTCCAGTTTTGCTGTTGTCCTTGTTTTGATACAGGGTCTCCCTGTGTAACCTAGGCTAATTTAGTTAAACTCACTAAGGCATAGCCCATGCTGACAATTCATGATTCACCTAACTCCGTGGCTGAGATTATACGCACACGCCACCACATGAGCTCCAGCCTGCAAACTCTTGCTCCAAGAGCCAGCCTGTGAATGAGGGGGTCCCTCGGTCCAGTTCACAACACGGAGGAACCGAGGCCCCGCCCCACGTCTTCCTGTGATGGCGGCTCCCATCAGGTGCTTGTCTACACCAGACCCCTTACCACCCAGGTTCTACACCAAGGTAGCGCCAGTGTCCGGGTCGTTCTTGGGGCCTTCAGAAAAAGGGAAGAAAGCCCATCCAGAACCTAAACCTTCTCTAACTCCCTACAGGCAAGAGCTTCCTCCAACAGTAGGGCTTCATGGAGTCTTGTGCTGAAACTCTTTCCGCACGATGGCAGTAGTGCTCCGCTTGCTAGTAAGAGCGCTGGTTTGTAGCGCTCTTACCCCGCCCTTTCCGTCTGAAAAAAACGACATCCACTGACAGGAACCATACAACCGGGTTTTTCTTTTGTTTTTGGTTTCCCCAGATACTGAGATAACTCTAATGTGCTTTTGTTTTAGTTTTTTGGGCTTTTTTATGCACACGCGTTATTGTTTTTGTTTTTAACATGCAATCAAACAGCACACAGTATTAACACGTCTTCATCAAAATTTTTTTAATGGGAAGTTAAATTGCAGCCAGGTGGGATGGTGCACTCTGTAACAGGTCCACTTGGGAGGCTGAGGCAGGAAGGTCACTCCGACTTCCAGTTAGCCTGGGCTATGTAGTGAGTTCAAGACCGGCCTGGCCCATGTAGTGAGACCTTGTTAAAAGTATTCTATATATACCCATCAACAGATGATTGGATAAAGAAAATATGGTATCTATATAATAGAATATTACTCTACTACAAAGAATGACAGATATGAGACATCTGAAGGAAAATGGATTCACCCAGAACATATAATGTAGAGTAAAATAAACCAGACACTCAAGCTTAAATACCATATGGTTTCTCTCATCTGAGTGAGGCAAATACAAATGAAGAGAATGATACAGGGTATACTGAAGAGGAAACAGGAATGAATCTCTTGCAACAGGGAAGTGATCCCAGGGAAAAAGTGTGAACAGGGAGGAGGGGAAGGGGTAGTAAGTAGAATAAATATGTGCCATGTCCAGGAACCTAATAACCCCAAGTAATATAAACATTATATGCCATAACATTAGCTAAGATTCCTAATATTAAAAAGAATGAAAAAATGACATAGGGGACTGGAAGAAGAAGGAGCAAGGGAGACGGAGGGAAGGGCATTAAAAAAAAAGAAAAGAAAGAGGGCCGGGGAATTAGTTCAGTGGTTCTGCTGCCTGTCTTGCAAGCACAAGGACCATAGTTGGATCTCTGCTACCCTCCCGCAAAAAAGAAAGAAACACTGTGATATTTAAGATTGTGTGTCTGATTTATTTCACTTAATATTGTGGTAACAACGTTCATCTATTTTCTTCCAAATGACTCATTTATCTTTCTTTAAGGCAGAGTGGTATTCTGTTATATACAAATATCATTTTCTTTATCTATTCCTCTATTGATGGACATTTAGTTTTCTTCCAAGATGTAACTATTATAAATTGTACTGCTATAAACATAGATGTTCATATATCACATTAATATGATGTCTTTAACTCTTTGGGGAAGATAACTACAAGAGGAAGAGCTGGGTTGAATGGAATTTCTATTTTTAGTGTTTTTTTTTTTTTTTTTTTTTTTTTTTTTTTTTTTTTTTTGGTTTTTTGAGACAGGATCTATGTAGTTGAGACTGATCTGGAACTCACTATGTAGCCCAGGCTGGTCTCAAACTCACAGAGATCCTCCTGCCTCAGCCTCCTGAGTGCTGGGATTACAGGCCTGAGCCTGTAAGTAAACATCAGGTTTATTTTTAGTTTTTTGAAGAAATTTTATACTGATTTTCATAGTGTTTGTACTAGTTTACATTCCTACCAACGATGTAGAAGGGTTCCTTTTTCCCAGGCATCCTCACCAGCATTCATTATTATTTGACTTCTTGATGACAGACATTCTTTCTGGAGTAAGATGGAATCTCAGGATTTTATTAATTTTCATTTCTCCAATGGCCAAAGATGTTAAACATTTTTCATGTATTTATTGGCTGTCTCTATTTCTGAGAAGTGTCTATTTATGTCAGTTGCACATTTTTTGATTGAGTCTTTTATTTTGGGAGGTCTCAATTTTTTTAGTTGTTTATATATTTTAGATATTAGTTCTCTATCTGAGAGTAGTTGCCAATTTTTCCCATTTGTAGTTTGTCTTTTCACTCTGTAGATTGTCTGCTTTGTTGTGCAGAAGCTTTTACATTTAATATAATCTCCTTTGTTGATTCTTGATGCTACTTCTTGTACAATTCATGTTCTTTTCAGAAAGTCCTTACCTATGCCCACTTTTAATAGTTTTACCTATTTTACATTCCATCAGGTTAAGTGTGTCTGTTAAATGATGAGAAAATGAGACAGTTTAAACTCTCACAGAAAGTGATATCCATGTATCTATAAGTGTTCTGCCATACTAAGTATGTATGGCATGTGTCTCAGTTACTTTTCTGGTTGCCGAGCCAAAATGCCTGACACCCAAAGTTAAAGGGAGAAAGTTTATTTAGCTCACAGTTCGCAGAGGTTTCAGTCCATAGTTGGCTGGCTACAAAGAAGGGTGACACTTGGCAGATGCAACATTCTTGGCAGTGTAAGACAGCAAAAGCCAGCAAGGGTCCTTAACAGTGTCTTTCTGCCCCTTTTATTTTATTTGTACTACTTAGGGCAGGTAGCACTCACACCCTTAATCCTAGTGCCCTTGAGCCTAGCATAGAATTGAGAATCAATTTCAGTATCCCAATGCTCTAGATTTAGCCACCTTTGAAAAAGCCTCACCCAAGACCCATGAGGCTTGGGGCAGGGGGCATCTAGACACAAGCCATAACAGCCTGTGACAATGAAGGCTATTTACTTAGTCCTTCCTCTTATGATTCAGGAAAAATTGTCTACCATTCATAAGGTCACAAAATGAGGGACTCAGTACTCCTCTTGGAGGATACCCAGGTCACAAACTGTTTGGATTTGAGAACTAACTAGAGAAGATCTCCGGGTTTGAAGCAATTTCCTCTTTTTCCTCTCATCATCCAAAACGTTATCCAGTGAAAGACACAACTAGATGACAAGGAACCCACTACGCAAGCAATGCTACATGAAGAAAACGATACCAGAATGGATCAGGTAGAATCACAATTAATGTCTGAAAGGATGAGAGTATTGAGGAAGGAAAGTGAATTTAGGTTTCTGGTGGAAAACAAAAGAAAAATCAAGGCCTTGTGAGCTCCTGGCAACAAACTGGGCAAAAGGCAAGGTGCTCTTACTTTTTGGCAACTGTCTCTGGTGTCATTTTTTTCAGACAGGAAGGGCGGAAGCAAAACACTGTAAGACAATGCTTGGGCTCGTGCGTGGTGCGCCACTGCCATCGTGCGGAAAGAGTTTCAGCGCACCTAGCACCATCACAACAGCTCTCTTTCCAGGAGGTCTAGTAGGTGGGATAATATCCTGCCTGTAGCAAAATGAAAGAGGCTAGCACTCCAGGATAGGCCTCCCTGACTCTATTAAGCCCCTAATAAAGACCTAGACACTGAAGCTACCTCAGTGTAGAACCTGGGGAGCTTGGTACATAGAGCGGACCAGCAGCTGCTGCCGGGAGCCGCCATCACAGGAAGTCGTGGGGCGGGGCCTCGGTTCCTCCCAGGGTGGACAATACCAGAAGGACTCCTGCAGACAAAAGCAGGCTGTAGCACCTGTGTCCTATTCCTGTCCTTTGGAGCCAAAATTATTTTACCTTTAAGTGATGTCACTGTTCTATCAGTATTCCAGTCCCTAGCTGCAGCAGTGTGAGAACAGAAAGGACACTCTGGCTCTAGGTGGCACCTACACATTGAGTCTTGGTTCATCACTCTCCAAGTTTCACACCAACTCCTTAAGTATGACTTGTTCCTAGCTGCCTATAGACGAAAAGGGGTGTATGATCCTCTGATGTCCGAGATACTCTGTTTTGGTCAACATCTAGGACTTTCAAAGAGGAATACCTAAGCTCATGTTTTAGGGTTTTATGGAAACGTTTCCCTAGATGTCAGTACAGCATTGTCACAGAAGACCCAATTAGCTGTGCCTCCAACTGCAGCTTCCGCCCATACAATTTGAAAAATAATGCCAAAAGAGCCAGAGATACCAGGAAACATGGCTTGATTCGATGAAACTGCACCACTCCTTGAATCCTTTTTAGTTTCTATTTGATATGAATTAGATCTAACAGGAACATCGCTTGTTCCACAGGGGAGGGGCATCTAAACTACTCACCCACATCTGGTAGATTCTGAAGAACTCAATTGCCAAGTGACCAAGTCTTCTCACTTCTGCTTTTCTTCAATCTCCAGTGTTTCCTCTTGAAATCAAAGTGTCTTGTGGTACTGGGGACCAATCTTTAGGAATCCATGCTTAGGAAGGAAAAGAAAATGCTCATAATAAGGGCTTGGAGCATGACAAATCGAGGCTCCAGGTTACTTGATTCTCATCCTGACACACTTCCCAGATTCCCTGAGAGGGCTACTCTATATTATGACATTGGCACCAGTCCTGTGTGCCTAGGGGAGGTTGATGTCAAGGGGAGCTTATAGAGGAAGGTCCAGGTACCTCTCAAGACTGAAGGTTACACAATGTCCTTCTTGGTGTGACATGCATAATTGAAGGACTATAAATTCCATTCACCGAGGTCACACTTGGTGTCATGGTTTCATCCTTTAACATTGGAGTACAAATATTTTTCCACATTATTAAGTGGCCTATCATTAGTTCCCATGTAGATTAACGTTTTCACTTAGGGGACATTGTGTTTTCTCATTGTTAACTCAAAGATGGAGCTTTGAAAACTTGTAAAATAACCATGTACTCATCAAGAAACAAGCACGACCATAAAGCTTTGTATTATACACCAACTTTTTTGTGTATCTTTTCCAATTCTTTCAATACATAGAGACAAAGTTCTAAGTAGACAGTGAAACACAATACATTTACATTTAAATTATATTTAGTTACTCATTGGGTTTTACAATGGTCATTTTTACTTCTGATTCCCAGAAAGTTTTTGATATTGAAATAAAATGCAGAACCTGGATTGTAGAAAATAAACATTTGCTTTGCAAAGATCTTCTTAATTGGTATACTCATTACAAAAATATTAAGTTCTCATTTAACATTTTTATCCATAAAATTATTTATATAATTAAAATCAATTTATATAACTAAACCATATATATATAATTATATAATTACATATACATTTACACTAGAAAAATTAGTAGTTTTTAATTCTTCTCAAGTTTTTCTCCTAGAGTCCTGGTGAGTGCAATGCTTATAATCGCAATACTTCCCCGTCTGATGCAGGAGGATCAATCACAAATTCAAGCTCAGCTTGGACATCTCAGCAATTTAGGGAGAAACTGTCTTTTAAAAAGTTTTTTTGGGGGGGCCGGGGATTTAGCTCAGCGGTTCTGCTGCCTGCCTTGCAAGTGCAAGGACCTGAGTTCGATCCCCAGTACAAAAAAAAAAATTTTTTTTAAATCTTAAATTTTGAGGACAGAGACTCTTTATACTCCAGACTGGTCTTAACTTACTACATATCTCAGACTGGCCTTTAATTTAGTTGCTCCTCCTGTCTGAGCCTCAGGCATGATTTAAAAATTTTGCCTTTAAAGGCCACGAAGAAAGAAAGCAAATTTGAGGAAGAATTGTTCAAAACTGGCTCCTTTAATATTCAGGCACCCTGAGGTCTTTCCTGAGAATTTAAAGATGGATGTAGTCAAACCATTCATATGCAACTCCTGTCTTTCATTAATATGTTTATATACATATAAATTTTTAAAAATACATGGACAGGGGTGGGGATTTAGCTCAGTGGTTCTGCCCTGTCTTGCAAGTACAAGATCCCAAATTCAATCCCTGGTACAAAAAAAAGCACATTCTCAGTCTAACACTGACCATGATCATAAATGCACAGGTTTTGGAATTTGTATATGCCTCCAAATAGATGTACCTATGCAACCCTTTTCTCTTTAGATATCGTTACATGCATTCGTCACTTTACACAGGCCTTACGCCACCATTGGCACATATGCATACCAATATATATTTTCTATTGGTTGATACTTTATATTTCATTCTACACCTTTAAGAAATGATAACATAGGGCCGGGGATTTAGCTCCGTGGTGCTGCCACCTTCCTTGCAAGCACAAGGTCCTGAGTTCAATCCCCAGTACAAAAAAAAAAAAAAGAAAGAAAGAAATGATAAAATATTAAGCACTTGGTAGGCCAACCCCAGTGTGAACAATTTAAATGTCTGTGAGCCAGGTGGGGGGACAAAGGGGTGGGTGGCAGAGATGAAGATAGGGGAGGTTTGGGAAGCTGGCACAGGACTCTATTCCCCGCACTCTTGGAGCCTGAGTTAGGAGGATGGAAAGTTGCATGCCAGGCCGGGCAACTCCGCAACTTATGAAGATCCTGTCTTAATTAAAAAGGGCTTGGGAAGTGCAGCTTACTGCAAAGGCCCTGAGTTCAATGTTCAGTAGTTAAAAAAAAAAAGTCTGTGCATGTATTATCATCTCTTCCTTATACATATATAATAGTTTCATAAAGAGATGTTTGAACTCTCCTATAGCATAATTGTTCATGCTTAAGTGTTCTTCACTTACAATTTGAATACATTTAAGATATAACTAAGTTTCTTGGAACTACTGATATGTTTGAAAAATACTGTCACTTTTTAAAATAGAGGTAAAATTCATGTAACAAAATTACCCATTTTAATGTGTCCTGTTTAGTGGCATTAAAAACATTCACAATGCTATGCCAGAATTTACCTCTAATTTTAATTCCCACAGAAGGAAGCTCTGGCCCCATTCAAGTTGAGATTTTTTTCATTCCTTTCTCCCGACCCTGTCCAGTTACCAGCAGCCACTATTTTGCTCTTTGGTCTCTATGGCGTTACCTATATTAGGGAGTTCATATGAAGACTCATCACAAAATTTGGCCTTCTGTGCTTGTTTATTTTAAGTAGTATGTTTTCAATGTTCATCCATGGTATAAGTCACACCAGTAGTTCATCTTTTTCATGACTGAATAATATGCCTTTTATGCACATACCACATTAAGTTTATTTACTAATAAAAGATATTTGCCTTCTGGGCATTCTTACTATCGCTACCACGGACAACTATATAAAAGTATGAGTTTCAGTATCTGTTTTCAATTCTTTTGGTTATATGAGTGGAATGGCCAGATTTAAATTTTATGAGCATCCACAAACTTTTCCACAGCAGCTGCACAATACTGCATTCCTACCAGCACTTAAAGGAAAGTTCTATTTTTTCCACCTGCTTGACAGTACTTGATTATCCCATTTTTTCCTGCTTACTGTATGTGAAGTGGTACCATGAGGTGGTTTTTATTTTTATTTGTGTGTACTAATAATATTAAACTACCTTTACATGTGATTGTTGGCTATTTATATAACTTCCTGGGAGAAACATCTATTCAAGTCCCTTGTCTTTTTTTTTTTTGGTACTGGGGATCGAACTCGGGTCCTTGCCCTTGCGACGTAGGCCACCGAACCACTGAGCTAAATCCCCGGCCCTCCATTGTCTATTTTAAAAATTGTATTCTCTTTTTTTTCTGTTGAGTGATACATTTTTTAGGTATTTTGGATAACAGATGTTCTTTAATTTCTTTGGAAATATATTCTATTAGGCTAGATGCCTCTTTATGCATTGATAATGTCCACTGTTCTAAAACACTTTCAAATTCTGACGAAGTCAAATTCATTTTTTCCCACTGATTGTGCTTTTGACAGCCTATTCAAGAAACTACTGCAAAATCCAGAGTTTACCCTTACATTCATTTTCATTTTAACTTTTACACTTACATCTTTTATACATTTTGAGTTTATTTTTGCACATGCCATGAGGCAGAAGTCTCATTGCACTGTTTTGTGAGTAACCACATGCTGTAGCATCAATGATTGATTAAAAGTACTATTCATTCCTCCACTGAGTGTCCCTGATGAAAGTCAATTGACCATAGTGTATGGGTTTATTTCTGGGCTCTCAAGATACTCTACTGATCTCTGTGCCTATTCTTGAGTAGAACACTGATGTGATTACTGTAGATTTGGTAGTAAGTTTTGAAATCTGGAAGCGTGAGACCTCAAGTTTGTGTTCATTACTCAACAACTGTTTTGAGCCTGGTGTAAATATCATACCCATATGATTGCTGCACTCAGGAGGCTAAGGCAGGAGGATCCAGTGTTTGAGATCAGCCTAGAGTACACAGCGAGCCTTTGTCTCAAACAAAAAATATTTTGGCTATTCACATCTCTTGCAATTGCATAGGACATTTAGGATCTTCTCTAATTCTGCAAAAAGCATCATTGGGACAATGAAAGGAATTGTATTGAATCTGTACATCATTTTGAGCAGTATTGCCATCTTAATCATACACGGTCTTCCAACTCATGAACACAGGGTGTCTTTTAATTGAATTAAGCTTTCTTCAATTCCTTCAGGAATATTTTATAATTTTCAAATACAAATCTTTTATCTCTTTAGCAGAATATTGTCCCGAAAATATTAATATTTTTTATGTTATTGTAAATGGAATTGGCTTCTTAATTTCATTTCCAGATTGTTCATTGCTACCATATGCATATACAAATTTGAACGATTTGTTTCTTTGTTTCATTTCCAGATTGTTCATTGCTAGCATATGCATATACAAATTAGAATAATTTGTGTTTGTTTTTGAGACTGTCTCCCTCTGCAGTTCGGATTAGCCTTGAATTCAGCCTCCTGAGTGCTGAGATTACAGGCAGCTCTACGTCTGATTTTTCTGAGTTCATTTTCTGTCCTGCACTGTTTGCTGCATTCATTTATTAGCTCTACTATGGTTTTTGTCAATTTTTAAGGAATGTTTTTAATAAGATCATGGAATTGGCAATCAGAGACCCTTTCCTTCTTCCAATTTTCTGCATACTTCTTGCCTAATTACTTGACTAGAACTTCCAGTACAAAGTTTACTACAAGTGACCAGTATAGGCCTTTTTCCCTTCTTCGTGATCTTTGGGCAAAGCTTTCAGTCTTCCACCCTTCACTATCCAACCAGTTGTAAGGTTTTTCACAAATGTCCCTCGCCTTAATGAGAAAATACCCTTGTATTCATAGTTCATTGACTTTGAGTGCTTTTCATCTGCATCACTTTTGCGACCTGTTTTGCATTTCTAGAAGGAAACATGCTTCTTTACAATGCACCTGGTATGTCAGCCATGCATGAAGACCTGGGATGAGGTCCCAGCCAACACCATGTGCAGCAGACATAGAGTCTTTCAATTGTAGGTTGATCTCCAGCCTTTTTAACTGTGCTTGGTCCTAGCATTTTTATGCACAGTT